GATTCAATAAAGCTGTTGCAAGGTTGGTAAATCTTAGCGGAACATAGACTACCGCTGCTCTGTCGTTTTGTTTTTAGCATAAAAACAAATTTGTTAATTTTCTCGGTAAATACAATAATTATTGTGTATTGTTATTTCCTTTATGCGTCAGATTTTTAGTTTTCTCCTTTTGTTTCCTCTTTGTTGGAAACAGTCCAACGTTGAGATTCTATTTGCTAGCAGAATTGGATGATGGATCTGATCCTGTCTTGCGAGAAATTGCTGCCCAAGAATTCGCCTCTCGTAGGGAAGCAATGAGGTCGTTGGAGAATCAGGTATCGAAAATCCATCTTCTCGACAATCGCAATAAAGAGATAACTCGACAATCACTTTAGATTATGGAACTACTGCTGCCACCCGACCCAACAGCAAAATGCAACTCAGTGCGCCTGCAGCTGATAGCTGGGGCTGGGGGTTTGGAGGCAGCAATGTTCGCTCGTGACCTCTTCGCCATGTACGAAGCTTATGCCTGCCACCGTGGTTGGCGTCTTGCATCTATTACTGACGGCGGAGCAAGGGAGTCTGTCGTTGGTGCAGACAGTCCGATCCACCATGTGGAAGTTCGTGTGGAGTCGTCCAGCCCCATAGATCCTGTGTATCCTTATCTCCGATGGGAAGCTGGTGTACACCGTGTTCAGCGTGTACCACTTACAAGCAAACTAAACAAGATCCACACCAGCACTGTCGCTGTTACCATACTCCCGGTTGTCGAAGAGATAGGTTACTTATTTTGTTTTAGTGGCAACGCTTCATTATAATCCATTGATAGACGTGTAGACTATCGGTAACGCAAAGCGCCTTAATAATCTTCATGCTCTTATCTGTAAGCGCCGTAGGTAGCTAACTTTTGGCTACATCGCTTTGCTCGATGCACCTATTATCGGCTGTGATTTTTTCACATATAGTCGGTACTGTTTTTAGTTAGGTAACAACTGTAGGTATGCACCTACGCGAAACTGGTACTTGATTGCGATGGTAGGGGAATAAACAAATTAGTGAGTGCACTGATCATGCGTTTGTCAGTAGTGAAAGTACCCATCGTCACTGCTGTAAATGTGCAGAACGATCATTAAAATTGGAGCATGCCTAAAACCGTTTGGCGTGTTAGAATCACATGGTTTACAGCCCCAACGAACAATTTAGTAGATCTTGCTCTTGGGTAAAAAGTGGCTGTGACAATTAGCTTAAGAGAAGTGAACATCATTTTTCAATACACTTGGTAATTGCAAGTATACGCGGCACCTATAGCGTTCTATCGGTGTCCAACCAAAGTCAAGAAGTAGGCGTCGGTTACCCTCTCAAGCAATTGAAATGAGATGATGTATACCGGTTTCTCATTTCGATGCTTTCCATCTTGTAGGTGGAAGTGGAGTTGGATCCGGAGGACTTGGAGTGGGAGGTGTTCCGTGCTTCCGGTGCTGGGGGCCAACACGTGAACAAGACGGAGAGCGCAGTACGTGTGCGTCATAGGCCCACGGGGCACGTCGCTGCCTGTCAAGCTGATCGCTCTCAGCATGCCAACCGGGGAAAAGCCCTTCAGTTACTCAGAGCCAAGTTGGTCTTTGTTTTTCTTCCTATTCACTAGCCCAATTTATTGCTGTCTATTCTGCACTATTCGATAGCAAAGTTCTTTGTATTTATGAGGATTTGCGGTATGTTTAGAAAGGGTGGGAATGATTTCCTCGCTTTTCATGTTTTGATTGGATCAAAGTCACGTCATTTTCTTCTATTGCTCTTATTTCTCGCAAGACGTTTTCCAAATCGTTGACACTTGTCTTGAGCATTTGTTAGGTGTTTTTTCAAAGCTCTCAATTTTTCAAGGCTTCATAATTTTCTCGAAAGCTTGAGTGTGTCGGCCAATCCCATCCGTGCCACTTCCCTTTTTTTTTCAAGAGATCTTTTGCTTGGTTTGTAGAGATCTCTGGTCTTGCAGAAGGCATCTGGCCGTATATCACTTCTGCGATTATGCTTAACTATGTTCTAGGTTAATTACTTGGAAATTTTCAAGTGTCTGCTTCTTTTCAAACATCCTATTCTGGTAAAGCTTGCTCTAAGCATGTTCATTTTGATATTTCATAGTTTGCGTCAGTGAATTTTAAGCTTCAGATCAACTTGAGTGTTCTGACCCTTGGCACATCCCTGAAGACGTGTTTGGTTAGTTTTGTAGAATCGGAAACCGATTTATTTTCCCAATTTTGCCTTAACAACATTACTGCACGGAGCCTCACTGACAGTCTCATTCGGTGCATGTCGTTGTGAGGAGATTTTGCTTGAAGTTTTTACGTGATGTTCTGCGAGCCGAGGCAGAAAATGTGCTTATGGAAAACCTCTGTGGAAATTATGTTTTCATGAGCCTATGTTGGATTTCTCCAAACGTATTACCAGCCCACTCGAGGTGTAGAAAGAACATCTACCATTTTTCTTCCAATGAATCAGGCTTGCAAACGAAGTGGCTAGACGGCAGGTGGAGACTGAAATGGTCGAAAAGCGTTCTCAAATAGGCTCGCTGGCTCGATCGGATCGCATTCGCACTTACAACTACCAACAAGACCGCATCACCGACCATCGTCTTGGACGCTCCTGGAGTGGGTTGGCCACTGTCATGCGTCAGGGCCTTCCTGTGGTGAACGAAACTGCATTCGCTCTTGATATAGCCTATAAACTCGCTGCGCTTGCTTCTCTTGATAAGCCTTACTTTTTATGCTGATTTACTATTATTCGATTCATAAGCATATATTTTTCCTGGATTGGCCTTCTGCACTGCATAGCACATTTGACACGGACTAATAGAAATTGCGCTACAAAGCGTCAGTTCTGAAACCGGCCAATGGTTGGTCTTTTTGTATGCTGTCATTGTCACAAGTCATGGCTTCTACACTTACACCTGAGATGGAGAAGGTACGCAAGGCGTCAATG